CCTCTGCTTGAGTGCAATTACCCTTGTCTTAGGTTGGGTCCCCCCAGAAGTAGATCTGAAACAATAATTCAAGTGGGAGTCATTTATTTGGGACATGATCCCAGGAAATACCATCAGAGGAATGGTGAAGGGAGACAGGAAAGTGAAGGAAGGCAGGGATGTTAAGTTATAATCACATTACCACTGGACAACTGGGGCTCATTTCCAGTGCTGAGAAGGAGACTCTGGGACACAGTATAGAACATGCTTCTGAATTAGCCCACCAAGAAGCAAAGGAGCTGGAGTACTTATATGCAACTCTTGTCAGTTGTTTACAAAAGAACTAGTGGCCCGATGCATGGATTTGTGCACATTGAAAGGAAAATAATTAGAAGAAATATTTTAATATTGCTATTTGCCCTTTCTCTGTAATGGAAGTGTCAGAGCCACCACTGGTCGCTGTCTGTGGGGCAATTAGCAGGGTGTTCAGGCCTCCTCTTGCACCCACCTTGGCCTGGTACCACCTGGTCACCTGCTCCACCATCCCACCATGGTCCCGCTCTCCTCAGAACCCATCAGGGCTGGCAGTGCCTCCACTGCCACCTGCTGCTAGCGCTTTGTCACCGACACCCGCCATGTTCCACGCCGCCCCCTGGTGGTCAGCACACGTCATAGTGAGCGGTCGAATTCCCAGTCAAACTCCCGGTTGAGGGGACAATTTGCATATTAGGCTTTTATTATATAGGATGTCCTCTGTGTGAAAATTCCCTTATATTTCTTGAGTGGGTTCAAGCAAACCACAGAAAACCCTCAGACAAAGAGACCTAGGGGCTGGCAGCTGGCTGTCAGACTGGCAATTGCTGAAGCATCAAGGAACAAGGAGGAATAGGCAGAGCATCCACTTTTGCTGGGAATCTACTGCAGCCTTTTTCCCCCTAGCGAATTCTCACCCTTTAGGATTCCGTGTAAGTCTCACCTCTTCTGGAAAGCCTTCACAGACTTTCTCTCTGACTTAGCGGCCACATGTCTGTTTCTCAGTAGAACCCCTGCATACCTGCACCAGAGGCTCTGTTACTTTCTCTCCTGATTATTGTTTTAATTTTCTGTATCACCCACTTCTTTGGGAGCTCTTTGAAGGAAGGAATTGTAAACCCATTGCTTCAGGGCCTTGCATAGTTCTGGCATGTGGTGTTGCTCCATAAATGGTTGTTTAGGTAGTAAAAGTAGTATAATAATGACATCCTAATAGTGAAAGCCAGTATTTATTGAATACTCATTCTGTGTAAACATTGCACATGTATTACCAACTCTAGAATATTAGTACCTTTATTATGCCTATTTTCCCGATGAGGAACTAAGGTATATAGGTTTACAGAATTTGCCCAAGATTATACAGCTATTTATAGTTGGGCCTGGAAGTCAGCCCAAACAGTCAGAGTCCAGGTTCTGGATACATACTTAACTACTATATGTATAAATTAGTGAATGACTGGAATGAATGAATGAATGAAAGAAAACACCAAATCTGATCCTTCAACACAGTAGGCTAATTCTGGGGATGATGCTATTAGAACAGTCTATAAAGTTGAAATGTTTGCTCTTATGTCACATTTCCTAAGAACCCTTCCAAGTAGTCCACTAGAAGCATCTATCCCTTCTCTGACACCTTTCGTGTCTTCATGATCTAGTTTCCTTACTAATGATAAGTTTCTAGACAACTGCTTAAGAGCCTGATTCATCAGGTGTTTTTTGTTTCCACAAGCACAAAGCCTTGCACACAATAGACTACCAATGAGTGTTTTCCAGGTAGACTATTGGATACATGGGTGACAAGCAAACAAATATTGGACTCTTCCATTATCTTTTCCTAGAAACTGTAGAGACTCATTCTCACCCCACTCTGAGGTTCCAGGGAGTCTGTCGTCACAGAGATTTTAGATGGTTCTGAAAACAGAATTCTGTGTAAATATATTAAGTTCAGGGAAGAATCTGTGAAGAGTTTTCTTTATAACATTTTGATAATCATTTAGTTAGAAAATTGTATTTCTAAGAAATAGGTATTCTTTCTCCCAAAACTGTATTTATAGGAAGAATTAAAGAAAGAAATTGTATGGAAAATCGCTAATGTTTCCAACAGCTGAACGAAAGATTTACTTTTTTAAAAGCTAATGATGGTTATCATGAATTACCTTTCTAATACCTCAAATTAAATACATTTTCCATTTCCACTGACTAATATACCTCTAATCTTTATTTATAATTAACACTAAGAAGAGTGCCATATTGAATAAATGTGACTAAAAATTACTATATTATAAAACACAGCCAGGAGGAAGTTGCACATCTTTACTGAGTCCTCATTATTTTCCGACCATCACATAGATACATTTTGTCCTAATATATAGGAGCAACATAGGAAATAACAGAAATTTAATCCAGTGAAAATTCTTTATTGATTCTAGTGTATAAAATTAATTACATTAGGTGCCACAGAATACAAAGGAGCATAACGCATGGTCTTTACCTTTGCAGAACTTATAGCGATGAACATTTGGAAGATAGATATATTAAATAGTAACTGTAGAATTTGATGGTAATAATAGCTAATATTTGGCACTTGACAATGTTTCAGTAGCAGTCCTAATGCTTTATGTGGCATTATCTCATTGAATTCTTACAGCTCTATAAAGGAGGCAGTATTATTTCCCACTTTATGGTTGATGAGCCTGAAACTCAGGAAGGTTTGGTAATTTCTCCATGATCACATGCCTAGAGAATGGGTGGGTGGAGGAACCTGTATGCAGACCTAAACCCAGAGGTCCTTAACATTCATATGTTGACAGCAATAAAATAAGATATGCCAAAGGGAATATTATTCATTCAAACTTGGTTTGAGCAAATGTTATGACACCTCAGCCTTGGCCTTGAAGGATGAGAATGAGAAATGGAGCAGACCCTTGCTTCCGAGACTGAGGCAGGTAAAGGAAGCTAAAGGAGTCCCTGAGAAAATAGAGAAGATTCAGGTGTTGTCAAGTATGTAGGTGCCAGCATGAACGGAACAGGGGTGGTGAAATGGGGAAAACTGGTTGGAACCAGATATCTTGGCCTTGAGTGTTACCCCCCAAAAGCCTAGACTTTTCTCATTAAAGAAAAAAGAGTCACTGAAAGGTTGTGAACCAGATTAGAATTGTATTTTAAGATTGATTTGGAAGCTACATGTAAAAGAAATTGGAGTCAGGAGTGGCAAGAACAGAGGACCAGTTTGGAAATCATAAATCCAGGTAGGGCAAAATGGCACTTGATAGTCTGAATCTGGGGTAACAGTATGTGAGTAGAAAGGAGGAAATATGGAAATGGACAGTATTTTGGCACTGACTAGATGTGAAGAATAAGTAAGAACAACACAAAAGTTCAAAACAACAAATATGTCATCCAGAGTACAGAGGAAGCACATGTCCTTATCCAGTTGAAGAGGTTGCCTTGGGCACTGAGAGGAGGGGAGTAAAATGGGAGTGGTGACACTGGTGGGGCATGTGAAAGCACAGAGTAAAGGCTGGGATTTAGATGTGTAGCAGTCAGGGTTTGGTCACTATGTTGAACTACAACCAAGTGATGAGCCCACATTTCTCGGATATTTGAGGTGAGCAGGCATATCTTTACTAAATGCAGAAAAGGTGGTATTTAAAGTCTGCAAGTTTTATTTTTTAGGAACTGAAATTATATAAGTGAGCATGTTATAACTTTTATAACAAAAAACAAATTATTGCATATATAGCTTGTTATAAATATATGACAATTTTTTTAATGTATTTTATTGCTTTTTTACAGAGAGGAAGGGAGAGAGATAGAGAGTTAGAAACATCGATGAGAGAGAAACATCGATCAGCTGCCTCCTGCACATCTCCCACTGGGGATGTGCCCGCAACCCAGGTACATGCCCTTGACCGGAATCGAACCTGGGACCTTTCAGTCCGCAGGCCGACGCTCTATCCACTGAGCCAAACCGGTTTCGGCATATGACAAATTTTTAAAGAAATATAAACCCCAGCCCTAACTGGTTTGGCTCAGTGGATAGAGCGTCCCGTGTGGACTGAAAGGTCCCAGTTTCAATTCCAGTCAAGGGCATGTACCTTGCTTGTGGGCACATCCCCAGTAGGAGGTGTGCAGGAGGCAGCTGATCGATGTTTCTCTCCCATCAATGTTTCTAACTCTTTATCCCTTTCCCTTCCTCTCTGTAAAAAATCAATAAAATATATATTTTTTTTAAAAGACATATCCCAGGTGCTCTAATGTGTGTACTTTCTTCCTAATTTACCTGATAATATAAGACAGTAAAAATGCATGGTGTATCATTCTCTTTTCCTCTTTTTTTAAAACAGAATAATGCATATTGGAAAGGGATAGTAATAAATTATTTATTACATATACATTGCCAAAATATTTATTTAATTAAAAGCAAAATACCAAATATACATGTAATCCCACAAATGACCAAAATTAAACTGTCATAGTTTTTAGCATTCTCAGTCAGTCTTTACTTATATGCAAAACTAATTTTTGCATGTTGTAATGATGTATTAGAATAAACGTGTATGTTTCTAAGGTAGAGTTTGGGTAGTGTGTTTTTTTTTATCTTTATTATTGAAAGTATTACATATGTCACCTTTTTCCCCCATTGACTCTCTCCATCCCACCCCCTGTCAAGCCTTCACCACCCTATTGTCTGTGTCCATGGGTTGTGCATGTATGCATACAAGTTCTTTGGTTAATCTCTTCTCATCACCTACCCTACCCCACCTTCCCTCTGATATTTGTCAGTCGGTTCCATGCTTCTATGTCTCTGGATCCATTTTGTTCATCAGTTTATTTTGTTCATTAGATTCCACATATGAGTGAAATCATGTGAAACTGGCATCATCCTCTTTTTTACTAAGTTTTTTTTCTTTTTTTAATTAATCAATTGGAGAATTCAAGTGTTTCTGGCTTTCATATGAATTTTTCTTTATCTTTTTTTTTAATAGGTGATAATGAAGAAGAAGATGTTGACATGAAAGAAGATTCAGGTATTAAATTTATAAATTTATTCTTAGAGGAAGGCGAAAGATCGTTCTATTGATTATGTACATTTTACTTTTTTTAAGAAAAGACAAAATAAGGTTCATGAAATGTATGTTCAAGATCATAAGATAAAGTAGTTTTGTTAACTCTTATGGCTAATATAGCTACTATATTTAAGCATTAAATTTTACTTTGAGATTCCTGACAGTTAAGGTCAAAATGAAACATAAGGTTGCAGTTAATAGAGCTGTGTAACATGTCCCCCCCAAAACTAAGTGGCTGAAACACCCACTCATTGTGCCCATATTTTCTGTGGACCAATAATTCAGACAGAACATAGCAAGAGGGACTTGATAAACCTCTTTCACAGTCCTGAGGCCTCAGCAGAAAAACTCAACATCTCTGGTCTGAAATCTTCTGAAGATTCCCTCACGCACATGCTTGGCTGGTGATTAATAATGGCTAACAGCTGAAACCTTAGCCGGGGTAGTTTTCTGAAACACCTATGCATGGCCTCTTTATGTTGGTTGGGCTTCCTCATAGCATGGCTGCCAGGTTCCAAAGTGGTTTATAGAGAGAGTGAGCAAGCCAGAGGGAGCTTAGCCCTTTATAGGACTCAGCCTCAGGGGAACTATAGCATCACTTCTACTGAACAGTCAGTCAACTCACCTAGGCTTAGGGAAAGAGAAAATAGACTCAATCTCTTGATGAGGAGCAGTGAGGTTCTGCAAAGCATGTAGGACCTGAAATGTTGCTGTGGGCATTTTTGGAAAATACATTTTGTACATGTAATATATTGCTCTCATTATCAGAAATTAAGATGCCTGCCAACTCCTCCAGAAAGACTAGTGTTTGATGAGAGAAATCTAGTGGCTAAAAGCATGGGCTCTGGACTGACATAGCCACTCAATCTGTGCCTGATAATGAATGCCTGAATCAACAGGCCTGAATTCAATTCTGGTTCCATCACTTTTTTACTTTGGGCAACAGTCTTTTCTCTATAATCTCAGTTTATACCTCTGGGGGCAATAACTCACCATATAGTCTTATTTGAGGGATTACATTATATCAAGTCCAAAATGTGTCTTGGAGCATAATAAACACTAAATAAATTATTACTTTTCTCTATGTCATTCTAACAAATACTGAAAGGGTATAGGACTTTCTATGGTATAAGTTCCTGATTCCGATGGCTACCCTACTCAAGGCATGAATTAAATCCAGATTTCAAAATGAAAATAGATATCTTAGTGGTTCTAATTTTTGTGTAACTTCTATTCAATTTCATAACTGCCTACAAATCACTGACAACCTTAGTCTGAGCAGCTCCATTAACAGGGAATTCTTTAAATTATGAGGCAACCAATCTCATTAGGTAAAGTTTGGTTAAAATTGTCCTTCTCCTTGTTAAATCAAATTTACCTCCCTTCCCTGATCTCTCACTATCTTCCTGGAGAAATAACACCGGTTCCTTTTCTTCCTAACAGTTCATTGGAACATTGATCATTGCTTCTATCTATTCTTTTTCAGTCTGAACACGTCTGATTTCTAAAGTTCCCTTGGTCTCCTCAGGGCAATATTCAGAGGATCCTAGAAGCAGAGAGATGGTCTAGATTTCAGGAGCAGGAATGAGCTAGGTCAGTGGTTGGCAAACTGTGCTCGGGAGCCACAGTTTGCCAACCACTGAACAAGGTGGATGGGGCATGGTAGCAGCAGCTGTCCGTTTCCTACCTGTGTCCCCTTGACACTCACTGTCACTTTCCAACTTCAACAGCTTTCTGAGGAAAGTTCTTGTGACTCTCTGCTGAGTGCTTTTCTCTGCTCATGAAAGCAAACTCAAAATACCAGGAGATTAATTTCTCTGGAGCAACCCTCCATCAAGGATAGACATGAGTGGATCAGCCTCCCTGTAGGACACATCAGAGGCATGTTCTTCTCCAGCACTGTTCAGTAGAAATATAATGCGAGTCTCAAATGTGAGCCTCGGGTATAATTTCAGATTTTGTAGTAGTCATATTGAAAAAAAAGAGTATTTAATTGAATAATATTTTAATAATATTTATGTAACATCATATATATAAAACATAATTTCAATATATAAACAATATAAAAATTGTTAGTCAGATATTTTACTTCTTTTCACCCTGTTTTTGAAATTTGTTTGCATTTTACATTCACATCTCAATTCAGACTAGCCACCTTTCAAGTACTCCTGGGCAGTATGTGGTGTTGGACAGTAAGATTCTGTATCATTGCCCAGAGGTCCCCAGGAGAACTGAGCCTGATTGTTTGCTGTGGAACTTGCTCATTAGCACACCCAGCGTTGGCTGCCTTTCCTTTTCTGTTTCACTTCCCTACTCCCCTCTGGTGTTTCCTGGGATAATCTAAGTACTAACATCAAACCTTTGTCTCAGTGTCTTATTTCTGAGGCAATCCAAACTAAAACAAGACTCTGCTTGCCTTTTGTAAAACACAAAGGCCAAGATAAAATTTAAATTAAAGTGTCAATTCATATACCTATGCAGGATGTCTCATTCTTAAAAAAAAAAAAGGAAACAACTTATGTTGAAAAATGACTTTAAGTGGTCACCTTGTCTTGGATTGCATTCATGAATTTAATGTTAATGTTTGCTATTCTCATTTAGCCTGCCCACATAAAGTATCCTTGGAAAATCCTTCAATATTCCCAGCAAGGGAGTATTGTCCTTTTGGCTAGCCAGCATAAAGACCTTATCTTGCTAAGGATCATTGTCTAAGTGCCATAAGCATACATTTCTAGGCAAAGGGAGTTGTCTTCTTAATGAGATGCAGATAGCTATCCAAACCACTGAGTGATTTGGAGGAACTCATTAATAATGCTAATGAAGAGCTCACTAGGATGGAGTCAGCACTTGCAGTTTGGAGTCCTTAATTGGATCACCATGTCTGATTTTAGTCCCACCACGTTTCCTGGGGGTTTTGTTTCCAGCAGCTGGGCGCAGCTGTTCAAGGATGCAGGCAGAATGGACTTTGGAAGCTGCTCTCCATTTCCTAATATCTATGATTGCTGAAATCATGGGTGATTTCTGTGCTGGATGGTTCCATGGTGTGCCAGCTGGGCTTGCCAGACATTGGTGAACAGGCTGGCTTCAGTTTAGATGGCACAGTTGGGCATGTTGGTCTCCAAGATGGGTCTGAACAAATTTCCCAAGACCATTAGCTGCTGCTTCCCCTCTACCATGCATCACCTCTTCTCATATAAGTAGAAATGCTGGAGGGACTTTTTAAGAATGGAATTAATGAAAATGATAGGCTACTTGAGTGAAGCAACCAGCCAACAAATGCTAGTAGATAATAGTGAACAATAATTTGAATACCAAAAGCCAGTGAGGTGCTGGTAAACTGACTCTCTGGGTGGAGGGAGCCCCAATGTGAACAGTTTACAGATTTCGTGATGTAAATACACCTACTTGGTATTATTAAATCTACCAAGCATGACATTGATGAATGTCAGAGTTGAGGAGAGATGGGTACAATAAGCTGGTGTGAGCTGGTTCAAGTCAGCCCCAGAATACCTCTGCTGAGTCATATTTTAATTGAACATGTACCTTGTACCAATCCCTCAACATACATGAACTCATTTAAGATACACAACAACTCTAGGAGGCCAGGAATGTTATTACTGAGGCTTAAGAAGGATTAGTTCCTTGCTTAAATACTAGAAACAGAATTTAGTTGTATCTGATCTCAAAACTCATATTCTTAACTTGGTGCTCCCGTCTCCAAACTATAATAGTAAATAGAGGCAGGAACATCTCAGTTGATGTCAGACTAGGTCGGTGGTCGGCAAACTGCGGCTCGAGAACCACATGCGGCTCTTTGGGCCCTTGAGTGTGGCCACGAAGTTTCAATCGCACTGTACGGAAGAGCCACACTCAAGGGGCCGCAGTTTGCCAACCACTGGACTAGGTCATCCTCAAGATGAGGTTCTGCCCCCATGGGGAAATGGTAGGAACAGACTGGTTTAAATGCCTATGGTTTATTTTAAGTCCTTTAATATTTCTGTAATCCTAGCACAGTAAATGTTTTCCTAGGTCCTTCCATTTCCATGACAATGCACTGTTCCCAAACTGAGCCAGCAGGGACAGAAAACCAGCAGCCACCCATGCCATTTCAGCCACACGAGAGCCAGGAACAGAGCTGAGTTCCTCAAGTGGCAAAGCCAAGCTCATGGCAAATGTCCAGGTTTCCACTCTCTGCCAGAATCAGAGACAACATACATAATGTCATACACTGTCAAGGAGAAGCATGGGGTGCTTTTTTAGAAACATGTCTTTAGCTTCCCAGGCCAAGAGGGAGAGTGGTTCCTGCTGAGCCACAAGAGGAATCTGAGCATAGAGGCCATATGTGCCAGTGGCTTTCGTGTGAGTTGCTCCACAGGGGTTATGAAATGATACTGTACTAATGTCATAGATGATTATGTTCATGATTACCATGTATCCATGCCCACAGACTACCTGAGGAGTGCCCTACAACTTTTCAACAGTGAAGCACTAGTACTTTGGGGATTCTTAAAAATCTCAAAAGAGGGCAAATTGTTGTCTTTTTAAATCTAACTCAGGTGGGAATTTCCATTCAGGTGGGAAATCAAAAATTACGAATTTAATTCTCAAACACCCACCTTCATGAAATGCTGGTTTGAATTTCTGTTCCAAGCATTGGAAATACTCTTCTTGATCCACGAATTTCAGGGACACGGAAGGCTTAGAGTCTACTCCCAGGGAGTGTTGCTTTTGCCCATTTAATGAATCCCTTTGAGCCGAGCATCTGTGCTCTGTGAGCTGTGCCAAGTACCTCAATTCTTGTTGTACTGAACCAATGCTGAAGGGTCAATGCCAATCTCACACCTAGTGACAGAAGTTTGGGGGAGTTACTAATTTAGTATTGGCAAAATGTTTCACCCTGCCTGTGGTAATGATCTTAGATGTGGTGGACTTGCAACCACAGAAAACCTAACCTAGTGCCC